TCGACTTACAGAGTTTCATCTAAATCACTGAAATAAGTAAACAACGCCATAGAATGCATGAGATTCGTTTTACTTTTTTGTTTAGTGTTATGAAGTGAGATCTACTAGCCGATCTATTATAAATTTGATTAAGCATACGTAGTCGTGCCATAAGTTCTGTCCCATGATAATCTCATGATAAAAATGAAACAAGATAAGATATATTTATATGAAAGATATTATTTATTCGACAACATTTTTAGAATTCATAATCAAACAGTTTTATTCAAAATGTCCCCCCTTGGCCTTCACACACTGCTTCAATCTCGCGGGCCACTCATCTATCACTGCACGCACAGCTTCCAAAGGAATAGCTGCCGCTGATCGGATCAAATCCGCTTTCAGGGACTCGATATTACGGTGGGCTTTGGAGCAGGCCAACTGCTCTAGCAGGTCCCACAACTTGTAGTCTAAAGGATTGAGGTCCGGACTCCCTGAGGGCCAATCTTCCGCAGTAATGAACTTTGGCACATTGCTTTCCAGCCAGCGCTGCGTACTCTTAGCCTTGTGAGCGGGGGCGGAATCCTGCTGGTAGACCCAGTGTTGGTTGGCAAACAATGTACCACTTAAAGGCTTGACGATAGGATCCAGTATGTCGCTCTGATAGTTTGCCGCTTTTGTTTTCACGCCCTGTTTACAGAAATGGAGCTGAGTGACCCCTTCGTAGGACACCCCCCACCAAACCATGACTGACGCAGGGTGGTGGCCTCTCTCAACTCTCGGAATGATCTCCGAAGCTTCCTGTGAACTCCTTGCATACACTTTGTCATTTTGTCGGTTGAATTTTTCTTCTATGGTGAAGATTTTCTCATCCGTGAACAAAATCTTTCGGAATCCCCCAGCTGCGTACCTCTCCAAGAGCTTCTTGGATCTTGTCGCCCTGATGTGTCGCAAGGTGGCCGTAAGTCGCTGGCCCGTACGTCTCCGGTAAGCCCCTAGCCCTAGGTCTTGTTTAATGATGCGCGACATCGTCCGGACAGGAATCTTCATTTCCCTGGATAGGATCTTCTGCTTCCGGAGTGGATTCCTTTGAATCCTGGCTTTTACGGCTTTGATGGCTGCTGGAGTCCTTACTTGACGAGGTCTTCCGCTTCTTGGCCTGTCATCAACAGAGGACGTCTCATTGTACCGCTGAATGGTCCTAGACACAAATTTACGCGATATTTGAAGGCCGCGTAAGAGTTCAAAAATCTGACTAGCACGTGATTACACTTATGTAAAGCTATCACTGCAATACGGTTCTCTGCCTTGCCCCACTCCATCGTTATGCTTCGAGAGATCAATACAAACTTAGGTATATGTAATTACCCGAAAAGCGCTTAATCAACTGACACCACAATGTAAACAATCGGACAAGTATTAACAGGTCTACACTTGTTTGAAAACGAGGGACAGAACTTATGGCATGACTATGTATATGCAGACAATGAAATTCATAAAATTTAAAACAATTGACAATCAAAGGAGCACAAAACTAATAGATAAACTGTCTAATATACAGCATTTTAAACGCATTTCACACAAAAATCCATTTAGTCGAATCAGGTTTCAAGGTTTAAACCTGTGTTTAAACCCACAATTGGAAATGTTCAAACCTCTATCATATTTATTGCGAAATTATCGTCTCACGATAATACACGGAAGATATTGTTGAACAAATAATTGCTGGCTTCTGAAATCACAAAGTAGACTCAACTTGGATACAAAAACTAGTGACACATCCAATTGAGGGCGTGGAAGTATACGTGAATTTTATGAATGCCAACTTGGTATTGTTTCTTCGGAAACTTGGGTTTTTCACCACAAAATAGAAAGTAGATTAGTACACGGCTATTAATTAGTAGAGTCGTTAGCTTCCCTATGTTTTCAAGATTTATACTAGAAAAAAAGGCCTTGCTATCATAACCTCTCTCTTTTTAATCACCTTTCAATTTTCAGGAATATACTCATCTTCTAGCAGGACATTTTAGCTGCTAGACAAAGTATTTAGATTTTCCTCATAATATTGTAGAATTCCCTTTATGCGTGTTTATTACCAATTCGCATCATTGATCGTGTATTCGTAGGAACCTGTACTTCAGAATAGATCATTTTAAAGATTCTATTCTACAGTTATGTGTTTTTCATATTTGGGGCTGGGTTCGCATAGTATTTTAAGACTACAATCAATTTTCTGTTGATACTAAGCTAGAACGTGTAATCTTGAGCGTAAGTACTCAAAAGATAATTAGCTAGGGGACAGCTTACAGGTTTTACGAATAACATCAGTTTTTGATAAAGTTAAAAAATCACACGGGAAAAGTGACATTTACAACCATATGAAAATAGAAGTTACTCCATAAAACCTGCAAGTCTTCCTCTAGAGGATCACCCTTTAAGGCCATACGCGTCAGATTCATCGATTTAGTTTTTTTAGACAGGGGGAAACTTTTATAGCCTACTTTTAGGCAGGAAAGGTCGATAGATTCTTTCTATCTGTCCTTCCTGTCCAAAATGTGGGATTCACCAAAAGCGGCATACTCACTTAAACTCCTCAGTCGCTCGCAATGCATCCCTTAACTTCAATATCCTGCGTAAAACGGATTTATATATCCAGGCATCATCCCTAAATTTTTTGAAAGGATCGTTTCTATTTATCCCACATTTCTATAGATGAGGCACTTGTAATATAGCGTGGTCGGATTCGGATTCTCATGTTAGATGAATTTTAATATATATCAACTTATAGGTTAGCTAATAAATTTTTCACGATACTTCAAGTTTTGATGTATATTGAGTTGAACAGCTGATTATCACGTGACATCATTAAGTTTGTACTTTGACAGTACTGAATCTGGTGTAACTTCGGCCCGTATCGTCAGTCGTCCCTACAATTGTAGGGCGCCTTTATGGCCTCCTTGATTGTCCGTGTCAGCGCTCTATTTTGAGGTTATGTCACAAACATCTATTTGCATCAAATTGTGCTTGCTTTTGAGTATTATCATGTTTTATCAGCCTGAAATTTCCTACAATTTAAAAAGAAAACATATCTTCACAATAGGAGGGCGCTGACGCTGACACGGGACAAGTGTAATCTAGAAAGTTTTGAAGGGGAGAAAGCAGTATGACAATTAAGGAGGCAATAAACGCGCCCTACAATTGTAGGGACGACTGACGATACGGGCCTTAGGGCCGTATTCAGAACTGTTTACATCAAACACTGATAAAAATTTATATTGACATACATACTTTCACTGACTGGGAATTCAGACAGTAAAACAATAAAACATACATAGTCAACATAGAGAAATGCAATAACGTACGAATCGGCACAGAGCCACAATAAAATACGGCTACACGAGACCCTCCTGTCCTAGTGTGACTCCGTCTACAGATCCGTAAGGTATTACGTAACTTCATGCTCAATTGTAGCAGGTGTGGAACGAACTATTTGCACACTACTAGTTATCTAGCCAACAAGTTGACGTTTCATCGTTTTTTTGTTGATCTTAAATAGATTTTTTACGTAATCACCCTGCCGTTGAGTGTCACCTGACTTTTTTGAATGTCGGGTTTGCCATAATGAAGTATCGTGAAAAATAGTGGACACATTTATACTTGCACAGTGTATAGTCTAACACAATGTACCTGTATATATATATATATATGAATGAAGTATCGTGAAAAATAGTGGGCACACTTATACTTGCACAGTGTATAGTCTAACACAATATACCTGTATATATACAGGGTGTTCCATAATTATTGCGACAAAATGATAGGGGTTGTAGAGGGCATAAAAATATGCAATTTTGCCTTATAAACCCCTGTTCGTAAATATGCCGTTTGAGCACTACAGTTAATTTTACCTTAAGAGCTCATAGGAGAAACAAAAAATTCACCAGCTGCAAAATGTTCGTCTAGCACATTTCATGGTCTCGCCGGTTTGTAGAAAAAGCCTGCTGTGTTTACATTTTTGTTATCGTACACCCGTACCACCTTTTAAAAGTCCAAGCCATGGGTCCAGCAGACTATCTGCCGCGTCGACGTTTTTGTCGTTGGTGGCTGCAGCAGGAGTTGAGGCAACCAAACTTTGGTCGCTACGTTTTGTTCACTGACGAGTCCTGTTTTACAAAGGACGGTTATTTTAATAGCCGTAACAGTTACATTTGGGATGAAGAAAACCCTCATGCCATAGCCATCCATAGAGACCAACATCAGTTTTCAATTAACATCTGGTGCGGCATTGTGGACGAGCATATCATCGGGCCATATCTGCTTCCACCACGTTTGGATGGGCATGCTTATGGTCGATCCTTACAGCATGTGCTACCGGAACTATTAGAAAATGTGCCACTGAATATAAGAGCCAACATGTGGTTTCAACACCATGGCGGTCCAGCCCACTTTTCTTTACAAGTGCGGCAGTATTTGGACGACAAATTTCCAAATAGGTGGATAGGCCGAGGTGGCCCTGTGCCTTGGCCTGCGCGGTCACTTGACCTGACTCCACTGGATTATTTTATCTGGAGCTATCTGAAAGCTTTAGTGTACGAAACTCCTGTTCCCAACCAACAAGAGCTACTGGGAAGAGTGATGGCCGCGTCCGCACATGTTCAGGACATACCGGGGGTATGCCACAGAGTTCGCCGATCATTGAACAATCGTGCACAGGTGTGTATTGAGCAAGGTGGAGGACACTTTGAGCAATTACTGTAGGTAAGCTGTTTCAAGAAACTGATCTTTTTTTTTTGCTGCAGCCCAAACGGCATGTTTCCGAACAGGGGTTTATAAGGAAAAATTGTTCATTTTGATGCCCTCTACAACCCCTATCATTTTGTCGCAATAATTATGGAACACCCTGTATATATATATATATATATAATTTTTTGCGCGGGTGACAAGTTTAAGAACATTTCTTATTTCTTTTGCTCATTTTCTGGTAAACTTAGCTAATTAACTTCGGCGGTTTGATGTTCTAGGTTGGCAATAATACCCAACAAGACAGCGGGACAAGTTTAAAGTAGGCTAGGCGGCCAATTTTAGACTACTAGAATTTATTAATTATAACAAATTATAAAAATTGGATAGGAACAACGGCTGGTATTTCCATCCCCAACTTTTGTTTCTTTCTAGATGTAGGCCCTGCCTTACCCAATCCTCTTTCAATTCACGCATAAAGGCCAACAGCTCAGTAGTTAGAGAAGATTGAAAAAAAAAACGAGTAACAGATAGTATTAGAAAGCTTTTAATCGAAAAGAAATGTCTAGTAGTTTAAAAACTCGACGTGCTGTTCTGTCACGTAAGAGCCAAATGAAACTGGAAGTACTCATTGCGAGTAAGGGAGTGTGTCTTTCTGGTTATGTCTGTAACTTTTTCTCATTCTGCTGAGCTTCACATTAATGAAAGGTGGAAGGCCAACCGTTGTAATTTGATCAGTTTGAGGAGTTGGTTCTTGTGCAGTGTTACAAACACTATAAATGTTAGATTCTCTATTATATGTTACAAAATGATACTAAATTATTTATTTAGTTGTTTTTAAGTTGTTACGGTAGTAAGTGAAGATGATTTTTTGAACTTTTGGGTAAACTGTAGTCGCCCGAAGAAAATGCATTTTCTCAACGATCCAGCAAAGTTTTCTGTTTGGAATGTTTAGGTGAGATGGTGAGAGTAAAGAGAAGATTCTGTGTATTGAGGATTCATATTGATGACTAAGGCCAATATTGGCTGCTATACTAACAAACCTTGAATATATTTCTTGAGATGCTTAGATTTAAATTAATCTAATCTCAATTGTGAAAGGTAGAGATCCGATTTTATTTTTCAAGTTTTATGTGCCACATGGAACTTACCAACGAACACCTATTTTTGTATTCTGACTCTGAAAATCACTTATCTTGATTGAACTATCAAAAGAGTTGAATCTGATTTACTTTTAAGAATTTTTCCAAGGTGATATAATATTCCTCTTTATCCTGCCATTCTTAAAAATCATCTAGACATTCCACAAGAAATTGTTGAGAAACCTGTAATAGTACTTAACAAAGAATTGTTAAATGTCTTGTGGTATAGGTTGTTTTCAACAATATTCATATAATTGAAATATTGAGCACTCAAACTGCCATAATTTTAAGATTTGTTTGTTTATATCCTTTTTCAATTGCTTGAATTGTGCAAAACTACAGTTTATTCAAGAAGGATCTTATTTTATTTTAAAGGATTGATGGGCACCACTGTTTCTCTCTTTGTGATTTTTATATAACGTTATTGACAGTATTAAGCCAGCTGTCGACTTTCTGTGATTATTTTAACTTTTTAAACCGAAGCTTTATACTCTATTGATTGAAAAATTGTACTGTTTCCTTTTTTGTTACATTGGAAAAATAAATATTTTGAAAAAATATTTATATTTTGTTCGATGGGAGTTTTTTTCAAAAAAAAAAATAAAAATCCGAATGGTGCAGAACCTCAAATTTGCGATACTTGGAAGAATAGTGATTTGTGAACTACCTTTCATGAACTACGTCGAAATCATTTAGTTTTCAGTAGTGTGTAACTTTATTTGTGTATAGAAACCGCTTATGTAGTCCAAATAAGCATGTGGCAATTAAAAGTTTGTTGTTTTGTGTCGTTTTGTAATGCGTTTTTCAGTTGGCTTTCTTCAAAAGTATATTTGATAGTTTTGACACTCTTTAAGGTATTCACTGCCATGTAAAGTGCTTAGCAGCGTATTTTTGACAATATTCTATCGCGCGATCCATCGTTATTTGATCTATTCGAAGAATTCCAGTTTGCTAACGAATCCAAGCATATTCGACATTATTGATTGGGTGATTGTCAAAAAGTGAGATTTAAGATAGGCATGTAAATAGATCATTGACATAAGGACCCATTTTGAGCGAGAGTTTATTGGACTTGATTCTAACATTGCACAATTGCTGTTTACACTAGGGCACAGTAACAATCATGAGGTCTCTCTGTGTGTAGTTGAGTAGTAGATATTTTAGATCTCTTCTCTTCAGCATATGCAAAAGTTCAAATGTTGTCCATATATCTTGTCAATGGATGTAAGATATGTAAAATGTATATAGTTTGATTATCAGTGTGCTTAGATTCGTTTCAGTGTTACAACACATTGTTAGCAATTACTTTTATTACATCATTATTACTGCATGAAAAACTGAAACACGTCGTTTTAATGTCCTATGTTTTAGCCACTTGCTATAAATCTTTTGAAGATTTGGGTGAACATTCAATTCAACATTGGTAAGTTAATAAAATATATTTTATGTGCTTTGACACACCAGAGTGAGTCTAACAAGATGTGACTACTAGTTTCAGATAATTTAGAGTTCTTATAATACTAAGTATGTGTATATTATCAAAAATATTTAGGTGTCAGTCTCCATTTTTTCCCTAATTTAATTTAGAATTGTGGCTCCACAGTCAGACGATTATAGGAATATGCTATAAAGAAACATTGGTTACAAGATTTGAACAAAACGGTTTATTATTGCCTAATTAAGTAACCAGTTTGGCATTGCTACAAACAGAACTGATTTTGGAGCTACTTATTTCCAATTCCCAATCGAATTAGTAAGTAGTGTACAGTAGTAACAGTCAAGTATGGATGATATTCAAATGTTGCTGCCAGATTTTTGTCTACTATACACAGTTCTGAACAAACAAAAATATAACACTATATAGCGCAACATAAAGCTCTACTAAATTGAACTCGCGAAAATGATATTGAGCTAAATAAGCCTTATGGCGCTACTAAACGGGCAATATTTTTCTAACCCCTATACCATCTCACTTTTCAAACGTATTTTCATGTATTGTAAGCTGCCGCAATGCGTACAATTTCGTCAGTTATGTGCCTACACATTTTAGGTAAAATTGCCAAGATGTCGAGATACAATTGATATATTTGAGATGTATAGCCAGCCCAAAAATATTGCACGATTAGATGCTCCAGTAGAATAATTTCGCTCGTTGCTGAGATACTGTGTTTGAGGTTTCATTTTCAAAACCGTTTTTTCCGACAACATAAGTTTTTGTAATAGCATGCATTATAATATTATATTGTATTCTTCAATCTAATGTGTAGTTACAGCCTATAATCCCGCTAAATTTATGCGGTAACTTTTTTGCTAGTACCGCTCCATTTATAGAAAAAATATGAATGAGAGAGGGTTTTTAAGTAAAAAAGGTACTCAACATTTAGACGATTAATCCCCTTTTCGAAATATTTGCATTTCAACATTCATCAATAGCTTGTGTTGCAGGGTAAAACGAACGTGAAAATTAAAGTTCAACACACTATATTATGATCACCTGGCGACATTCTTTTGTGGCAGATTTGACTATTATTATATTCACGGGTTCTATAGGATTGATTTTTGGTACATTTACTACCCACAACCCTGTATATGAAACCAATAGTCCAAATCCTTCTGAAACATAAGGGGAATATTGAGAAAACTTCTATGTTGTTACTCTGAGGTAGTGCACATTCATACACGGTACTTGCGGATTCAGGAAAAAGTGTTTTGTTATAAAACCAACAAAAACAGTTGTCACATAGCAGTTGTGTTGTTCCAGTTATTCCCGTTCACTGTGTATCTAATCTAGGTGGTGCCCGAAACAAGAATGTGTTTAACATGGAGAGATATAGTGATTCTATTTTCACGGGTATAGCTCAGAAGTATATACATTCTATGAAAATATTGTGATTAGACAATTTTAAATTATGCTGTTTCATTTCTACTAGCTAGCGAGCGAGCTCGTATGTCTCATAATACAATTCAGAATCTTTATTCCCAAAACATGAAACTAAGGGATCCTACATTTGGTCTAAAATTGTAGCCTAAACCTTGGTCCAGCTATATATTTGCGAGGTTTGTCCTTTACATGATGAAGTTTAAAACTCATGGAAATGAATGTATATAATAAATTCTTTGATTTGTCATTGAATACCTATTTATAAACGAAGTTGCTGAACATTCTCTCACCTAGTTTTTTTTGTCAAAAATATATATATATATATTATTTCAGAAAGTTACGAAGTATTTGTGATTTGAACAAAACAAGAATATCAATTACGATGTAATTCCTTTGGTGATTACCATGTAATCATATCATATTATACTGTAATTGTGAAATACTTTATGGAAATGACAGTTTTGATCACAAATACCTTATAACCAATAATTACGATTTGTCTATTTTCTATAGTAGGTTATTTGGAATATCCACTGGAAATGATGCGGATTACCTTTATATTAACGGCGGACTTTATGATTAGAGCTGAGCCAAAGCGTTCTTTCTGGTAATTCGATTATCTAGAACATCGATGTGAGCTCTGCGGAATAGAAACCGTGGGAATTGAGTTCGAAACCGTTGGGATCAAATCCTTCGGGACCTTCGGAATCCATTCCTTCAATTCCTATTGCGTTACGAACCGTTCATGACCGACCCAGCTCTAGACTCTGCGATAGGTTCAATCTACCTCAGTTCAGAAAAGATTGGAAACGTGTTAAACGTTATTTAATTAAATTATTTTTAGAGCTAAAGTATATGTCATACACTACACTGAATTGGTTGTCCCAAAACATTCTTTTCCTAGTACGTGGCACTCAAATCAATACCAGCAGTGTAAATTATATACATATGTACTTGAGTAATAACTATAAAAAATGTCTCTATTTGCAAAAAGATGACAGGAGTTCCATAAAACATGATTGAGTTTGCACTCCTACACTGCTGTGGAAGGAGTATCACTCAGGTTTACCAACCTGACATTTTGGTAGAGGTTTTTTGTGGCCAAATACGGATGAGTCGATTCTTTCAAGAATAATTTATTTAAACTGGATGTCGCATGGCACAGTTTTTTGCTTTCTGTTACATCTGAATGACCTTTATATAGTTGCAGTCTAATAAAAATGTCAAGAAGTTGATTTTCTTGTAGTTGATGTCAGAAGATCAAGCGTGACAAATGGTATCACCCTTGTACAAGTCGGAAATACGAGCTCGCAATTTTCAGGAATAAAACTCGTTTTTCATCAAAATTTTATATACTATGAAAGCGAAACTATATAAGATTGTTTTTCCTTATATACAAGATTTATTTTGTCTGCTCTTAGATTTTTTATTTTTGTAGTATCCTAGTCATCTAAGGTTTACTTGTTGGGCTGCTTTCGTTTTATATGCCAGGATCACTATAGCCGAGAGTTTCATATATAAACATTTATTAACTGTATGCATATATTCAAAACTATCGTATGGAAAGCAGTCGAGAAGGTAATACGCAAATCTTGCTGTTAAAACCACGAACATAGTGCTAGTGTATTGTAGTGCATTGCAGCATTGTTATACAAAGTGAATAGTTCATAGTCACTAATTAATTGCACCAATAATTTCTCATAAGTGCTAAAAAATTATAAAGTGGATACTTTTTTGTCATGGAAGCATATTTTTTTGTTCCAACAAGATGTTGCAGATTTCAAGTTTAGTTCATAAATGTACATTTTAAGCTGTATTCTGAATAACATCAATCAATATCATATTCAAGATCTACCCAAATGTAATGTACAAAAATACGTGATAGTCCAGGTACATCAAAGAGGTTTGTTTCCCTACAAACTTCATTAACGAATATAGTTTTATTGATGAAGCAAAGACAGAGACAGATTCAGAGATGTAATCAAAGTGAATCTACATTGTTCAATGGTGAATCCTTCCTTGTCTTCTAGATGATTAACGGAAGCATGTCACATTTCCTCCTCCAATTTTGGAAGACATTTTGCCAATTTAGTTGCAATTTGAAAATTCTGCGACTCAGCATTCAGGTCACTATTAGTAGGTGATGCGACCACACAATGATAATGTGGAGAGTAGTGGGCTCCCATAGGTTATTCTAAGGATATGATTTCGTTTATCTGAAGCGACATGTCAGGTAGTATATAAGTGATATATGCAGAAATCGTTTTCCCATTCAGCTTTATTTGACTAAACAACTATTTTATGTAAAATAACATCTATGCTATGGTGGTTTAGGTATCTTTGTAAAGTTGAATCGCCGCATAATTTGTTAGAATACGCTGAGTGTAGGCATCTATTTGCGATTAATAAAATGTATTATGCTGAAAAATGTTTCGTTAGAATACGCATCCCGAACCTCGTTTGATATTGAATCAGGAATGTTTGTTGTCCAGACTCGAAATTATGATCCTTTATAGGTTGGTGTCTACATTATGACCATGATTTGACTTCTTACCTATAACTATCGAACCGACATGTTCATCACAAATAATGTCTGCACCTTAATAACTTGAGTTCCTTATATATCTAACCATATACGAGCACAGTATAGGTGGGACGAAAAATGTGTTTGTACTACTTTTACCGCCACAGGAATGTAGACATCACTCCTTCCAACCTGAATCGTACAAAATTTTGTTGATCAAGTACAACAAATCATAAGTCCTTGCTCTGGACACGATACTCCTATTCGTTAGATTTTGCGATGGGGCGATTCGACATTATTTCATACGCCCTAAAAATTTCCCAAAAGTATAAACTAAAAAATAGCTTTTTAGCGATATGAAATTATGTATTATAAAGATGAATTAATGTTGCGAACAGATTATGTGTACTAAGATTTCCAAAAACTTTAGCTGTGGCCTAGGGATTACAGTTTCAGATATGTAGATGCAATGTCATCATCATTTTGGCAAGATGCTCTTTGGAAACGTTTTGGTAAACCAGCCCATGATTTATCCCTTGCTTTATTTTCCATGTATTATAAAAAACTAAAGTAAAAGGTATATCAATTCCTGGAGAGTCACTGTGATCCCAAGGCTGCGGAACTTAGATTTGTTGCTCTGAATTTTGTTCACTAGAGGCATCACTAAAAACACCCAACAATTTTTTCAGTAAAATTCTGGTGTTTTTATCGTCTCTGCAAACTGCACCAATGTTAAAAATCAATTAATCTTAAAAGTTCAGAGCAACGTTACATGGGAAGAAGTTTTTATATATTTAAACAAATGAACTTTCAAAAGTACGAAGTATCTGCCATCCACTGAAGAAATATTCATTTGTTCCATTATGAATGATTTTATTGATTGTACTTTTAAAAGTTTGGAATCATTTCAGATTAATGGGAATACTTGTATAGATTTGTGTAGAATTCTATTTATGTTTACATGCAATGAACATAGATAGAAATATGGCTGTAATAAGTGTGTCAGTTTCATCATGACCAAAATGTAAAAGTATATTTTTGTAAGAAATTAAGTTGATGTTTTGTGTTTGAAAATCTTCATTTTCAGTGGGGCTAACACTTTGGTAATGTAATCGACATATTAGCAATTGTGCTAATAATAAAGCCTTGCTTACAGATATTTTGTGATTTGGGCCGAATGAATGTCACTAATGTCAAATGCATGATTTACATATTGCATGACTCTTTCCGCTGGATAGATAATTTCATTTTTGGCCTCATTGAAAGTCAATAGATTTTTCGATTGTTTAGACATATTTTTATTGCTTTGTGTTGACCTAAACAAAACCTTGACTTTTTGGTCACTTGAAACGATAAAATTGATTCACAAGTTCATTAAATATAGATTAAGGTAAAGTGTTTGAAATAAGAAAAAATCATTGGTAGATGTCATATTAGGTAGCGTTTTCCTTTATGGCTATATGTTTATAACAATGTCCATAAGTTGTTTTGTGACATTTGTTTCTTGTGTTTGTTTTGCTTTATCAGTATTATTGAATTGATTAACAAATCTTGTATGGGATATTGTTATAAAAACATTATTTGGTAATGTAAAAGGCGTTTTAATTGAAAAAATTCAATGATATAGATGGTATTGTATAGTTTGGAAAACTAAAAATTCACACAGATCACCATGGAATTCTTGCAGTCATACGACTTGCTAAAATACACTTATTATTTGATATCAAAATGTTATTTTAAATACGTTTTATCAGTTACAAAAAATAAACATTTATAAAAACGTCTTGTTTTTTGCTTACCTTTGACTAAAATACACGCGTGATCACAAATTGAAGATTTGCAGTTCTTCATCATTGATACAGTATTTTTAAAATCTCGCTCACCATTAAAGTTACTACTCTTTCAAAATAAACTGTTGTATACAATATATGGAGTACATAATTTTTTATGCTACTACATAACTATTGGTTCATTAGCGAACGTTATTCCCTGGCATAATCATATTTGGGAATTATGCTGGTCTTACATACAGTGAGAAATATAGAATATATAAACCAATTAGAAATGTATGCAAACGCTGCAGAGCAAATGGCGTCTGTATAGTTCATCTTACTCTCGATTGTTAGGTATGGAATTCAGTATATTTATATTTGACTGTACAGTCAATTATTCGAATTTTTCAGCAGACTGTTGTCTGGGCCATCTCAAACTATGTGGGTCCCCTAGGCACTAAGATGAATGCCAGACGATCGGTATTTGCCGTGATCTGTCACTATTATGAAATGTGATATTCATTATACAGGGTGTTAGGGAAATAATATTTTATTTTTTGAGAGGTGATTCCTTGCATTATTCTAAGCAAAAAAGTTCATTACAACCTATGTCCGAAAATCAACGTTTCGGAGCAAAAAAAAATGCTGAACTTATTTCTTTTTAGTCATGAAATAAATTAATTTTGCACCTTAGTAATTTAAATTAATATGCCTAATACTTTAAAATGTATCAATACATCTATTTATTAATTGTCTCTAACAAAATAATTTTCTTGCTTATTAAATACAATTTTCCGAAGAAAAACAGACAAACAAAATCCCTCACACAACTGGCAACATCGTACTCCGCCTGCACTACATGTATCATCACGTGTTGCCCATGAACCACGACCGACATCGTGTCGGTAGGCAAAAAAATAAATACTTACATCGGGGAAAAAATTATTTGATAGTTTCTTACGTACAGTTGTATTCATAAAAAAAGCGTACACGAATTAGAATGAGAGGAAACCTTAACCTTATTTGCGTAAAACCGGCTTATCGCATGTTAAAGGTTATTAAAAATGCAAAGCATGGGCGTCGGGCATTAGTTCAATACAGTAACAAAAATGTATTTCTTTATTTTACATCTTAACAGTTTTATAAAAATTACAATAGAAACAAAAAACGATTAACAAGAATAAATAAAATCTAATATTTGGTCATATATCCCTGTTTTTCTATTACTTGAGCCAGTCTATTCGGAATTGACTGAATTATATTTGATACAATATTTGGATCAAGCTCTTCCCAGCACGCATGTTTATTTCCCATAAATCTTCTGAATTTTGTGGCCTAAAATTTCGATTATATATTTTTTTTACGATTATACCCCAAATATTTTCGATTGGATTGATATCGGGACTATAAGCGACCCAAGGCAGCACTTCCACATTATGGGTTTGAAACCAGTGGGTTACAGCATTGGCCGTATGAACTGGACAATTATCTTGTTGAAATATGAACGTATTATTGGGATATATTTGCTCAGCACTTGGTAACAATATGTTTTCTAAAATGTTAATGTAATTTCCGGCATTAAATCTTCCCTCTATTCGCCAGCAAACACCAGGTCCATGAACACTTATCCAGCCCCATACATTTACAGAGAAACGCCCAGGTCTAGAATTGAGGGGGTTAGTATATCGCTCTTCAAACCTGGTATTGTTTGGACGGTAAACACGAATTTGGCCGTTATAAGTCGACTGGAACGTCTTTTCATCAGTAAAAATGACCCTGTTCCAAAATTGAGGATTGCGGTATATATAATTTAAAGCAAAAATAATCCTTGATTGTCGCCGTTCTTCGTTAAGAAACATTTTTTTCGCAGCAGGGTGACATTTTAGTTCAGATTTCATTACTCTCCTGCTGGCGGTAGGTTGGGAGGCAGGAAATGCTGTATCAATAACAGCATCCCTTACAGTTGCAAATGGATTATTTCTTAAATATCCCAAAAAAGCAGTATCCTGTTCAGGGTTGGTAAGTTTGGGACGACCTGAACCAATTTTCCTCTTTAGGGAATCTTCCTGTTCCCAGCGTTGCTTAATTTTCAATATGGTTTTTTTTTATTTCTATTATACAACTGCGCTACAGCACGGATTGACCATCCTTCTTCGATTCTTGATACAATTTGAGCCTTTTCAACTTCAGACAACTGACGAGGCATTTTTATTTTCTTCTGTCAAGGTTTATCAAACGTTACCACCACGCATTTTCGAAATGAATTACACCGACGTCAATGCTTTGCATTTTTGACAATCTACGACGTGTGATAACCTCCAATAAACAATCATTTAGACAAGCCGGTTTTACGCAAATAAGGTTAAGGTTTACTCTCATTCTAATTCGTGTACGCTTTTTTTATGAATAGAACTGTACATACGTTAATGCAAGTAATGTTTACCCGAATTGAAATCACGTTTTATTATTCAGTATGTACAAGGTGGTCAAACCAAAACGGATGTTTTTGTAACGGGTAGTACGTGGAGCTGTGTGATCGGTCAAGGTCGCAGACTCCCTCAACTCGTAGCCCACACTGGGACTTTAGTTGCAATGGAAAACTGGAGCGTGCAGCATCGCGTGTTTGCCGTTGAAGAATTTATTCGCAATGGCGAGTCTATCGTGGTTACTCGGCGTGCGTTCCGTCGTCGGTTCAACCTAGCGCCACGTAATGTGCTTCCTTCGCGTAACACAATACTGAGATGGGTAAATGATTTTCGTACACACGGTAGTGTGAAGATAAAAAAGAAAAGAGGTGGCCGAATGGTAGCCACACCTGATGAATGAAAGAGAGCAGGCAGTGACAGTCAACTCCGCCCGGTACCTGGGTATGCTTCAAGAATTTTTCATCCCTTATCTTGAAGAAAATGAGATTGACGCTGGCAGCATCTGGTTTCAACAGGTCGGGGCTACAGCTCACACAGCAAGGATTTCTATGGACTTTTTAAGAGCGACTTTCCCTCGACGCGTAATATCCCGAAATGGTGATGTTCCCTGGCCTCCACGCTCCCCAGATCTTACCCCCTGTGACTTCTTTCTTTGGGGCTACTTGAAGTCTAAAGTTTATGTTAACAGACCAAAAACCATCCAAGAATTAAAGGAAGCCATCAGAAATGAAATCACGGCGATTCCACACGATATGGTGCAAAGGGTAATGACAAACTTCAACAAGCGCCTGGACGAATGCATTGCAATGGAGGGTCGCCATTTAAATGACATTATTTTTCACACTTAAATATGTTTTCGATATTTTTGGTTTGACAATAAAATTTCCTGAGTTTATCTACACATTGACTTAATTTTCAACCCCGTATGATAAAAATTTAAATTTTGACAGGGTCTTAAAATTCGTCCGTTTTGGTTTGACCACCCTGTATTACTGTATCAGTGCGTGCATTTTGATACGAAAGAGATGTTTTCGGTACGCGAGTATCACGATATGCTTATTATTTACGGAGAGGCTCAATGGAATTCTGAAGAGGATAGGCGCATTTACGAAGAACGTTTTCCTGATCGAAGGCTACCAGCTAGAAGAACAGTCGTAAAAGTATCCCAAAGACTTCTGGACACGGGGAGCGTAGTGCCTAATTTTAACAGTCGCGGAAGACATCATGAAGTTGGAGTGGAAACCGAACAAATTAAGTATTGCTTGTCAAGTCGGTTTCCCACACTGGATTGTACATCGGACCCTTAAAGAACACTTATTGTACCCATATCATGTCCAGAGGGTTCAAGCTCTTTCGCCTGAAGATTTTCTACGATCAAATTTTTGTAAATGGTTTTTGGGTAAACATCAAAGAAATCACAATTTTGTAGCGAACGTGTTGTCAACAGATGAGTCTTGTTTTACAAGAAATGGAATTTTCATGATTGGGCGGACGAAAATCACCATGCAATTGCACAGAAAAATTCGCAGTATCAATTCTCTGTTAATGTGTGGGCTTGAAGAATTGGTGTCCAATTAATAGGCCCATTTTTTTCACATCGCTTGAACGGTGGGAGCTACTTAGCTTTTCTAAGAGACAATTTGCCCGTTTTGTTCGAAGAGGTGCCATTGCAAACAAGAATGAATATGTGGTACTTGCACGATGGTGCTTCAGCACACGCTAGTCGAGTAGTTGTGGAACATCTCAATAACACCTATGGGGATAGGTGGATAGGAAGAAATGGTCCAAATGCCTGGCCAGCTAGAACCTCGATCTTAATCGAATTTTTTCTTCTGGCGATTCATGAAAAATTCAGTTTAAGACTCTGAAATAAGGGATGAGAATGATTTAAGGGAGCGTATTTTAGCCGTCGCTAATGAAATACCTAATATGCTTGGAATTTTTCAACGAGTTAGAGACAATTGGGTTCGAAGGTGTCAAGCTTGCGTAGATGCCTATGGTTTCCATTTTGAACATCTATTGTGATTACAAATACATTTAACTGTAACTCTATGTGATTTACGGATGTTTTTTTTTTCTTTTTTCGTGCATCGGATCTTTTAAAATAAGTGACTGATAATCGTGGGAATTGGTGGTGTGTATCGCCACGTACCGGTAATTTTTGTAATTTTTCTAAGTAAATGTACTGTACTGAAAGCGTTATTAAATAAAAAATATTAGCTACAAAAAATTGCGTAACACTATTCAATAATTCAAGGCATATTTTCAACAAAAATATCATACAAATGTAAACAATTCGATGAATCAGTTGCGGTCGTCGTACGCTCTTAAAGTTACGAATATTATTTCCCTAATACCCCGTATATTATACAGGGTTATCCAAATTAAGTGTCCACCATTAGTAACTTTGTTATTAGTGAAAATACAAAGTTGTTTGAATTAGCAAACTAGTAGCATTTTTAACGCTGGTAAAAATGAGAAATAAAAAAAAAACAATTGAGAGTCGTTATTTTGATTTTTTTCAGTAAAATAACATTTTTTTAAATGGAAACCCCTGTATATTATATTTTTTTCTGTTAAAGCATCAAATTTTAAACAAAAAAGCTTACAATAACTTTTCTCCTAGGTTACAAATTGTTGAAGTTATGGCCTCCAATCTGAAACAATTAAATTGTATCAACAAACTTTATTTTCAACATCAACTTATAATCTTACAAAATACAATAACAATTTTTTTTAAAGAAGATGCTCGAAAACACCACCTTGTTCTTCAATACATTTTTGGGCACGTTTTTCAACTGCTCGAACTGTCTTAAGTATGGTCCCACCATCTATCTGGGTTATCTTTTCCCTAACTGCAGTCTTTAACGCGTCAAGGTTATCGTACCTTCGCTTGTAAATTTGGTTCTTTAAGTAACCCCACAAGAAGTAATCAAGTGGGTTTAGATCTGGTGATCTGGGAGGCCACTGTATTGGGCCATTTGTTCCTATCCACTGATCATTAAAAGTAGTACTTAGAAAATGATAAGTACCTCTGGAGTTGTGGGCAGGTGCGCCATCTTGCTGAAAATGCAGATGATGTCTACTTATAAGATCCAATTCGTCTAAGAAATTAGTCAGAATTTCTGACATAAATTCCACATATCTTTCACCAGTTAGGGTTCCCTCATAAAAGAACGGGCCAACAATTTTTGAACCAATTATACCGCACCAAACGTTGTGGGCCTCTTGGATGTACTAACAAAAGATTTTCTCTTGACCAATAATGGTGGTTTTTTCTATTAAACATTCCAGAATTTAAAAAATTTGATTCATCTGTCCATAAAAGGTAACGAAAGTTATTTACATTTTGGCGACAGAAGCTAAGATACCAATGGCAAAAAACAAGTCTTCTCTCTGGATCCCCTGCCAAAAGCGTTTGAACTGGTCGGTACTTATACGGAATAAATTTGTATTTTTTTAAAATCCTTTGAACAGTACCATAACTGAAATTAGAGTCCTTGAGAATATCTGCTATTGAATTCTCACGATAAGCTTCAAAATATCCAATAACTGCAATTTCCGTGGCCTCGCTTATTATGAATTCTTTTTTTGCCCTTGTTTTAGCAAAAACATTTTCGTTGCCCCTAAATTTTCGATAAAGTCTCAGAAAATATCGTTCATACGATTGAATGCGAGCGGGATATAATTCACTCTCAAGGAGGATTTTCTGCACACTAAATAGCATTCTAACATATCACACTTTTCTTCATGGGAGAACATTTTTCTTTAAATTAATGACACAATAAAGCTTATAAACAAGTATTTACACTAATGTTTGACATTATTTGATTTTATCATTGTTTTCCAAAGCCTTCTAGTTGCGAGTATGTCCAGTTTAACAATTTGTCGCTTATCTTAATGCTGTCAAATCGCGAACGCCATGTTGTTTTCATAGCCGTCTTAATATTATAATACTGCAAATAATTAAAAATATTTATCGTTATTTTGACTTTATTTTTGACTTTAGCGGAAAAGTCATTATGAACTTTTTTGTTTAAAATTTGATGCTTTAACAGAAAAAAATATAATATACAGGGGTTTCCATTTAAAAAATGTTATTTTACTGAAAAAAATCAAAATAACGACTCTCAATTGTTTTTTTATTTCTCATTTTTACCAGCGTTAAAAATGCTACTAGTTTGCTAATTCAAACAACTTTGTATTTTCACTAATAACAAAGTTACTAATGGTGGACACTTAATTTGGATAACCCTGTATACGTCCGTAGATATATTACATATACCTCACCAAGTAAATAAGGTCACTAGATTTCTAGATATTGAATTGTCAAAAGATACATATGCTTAATAATAATGCAGCATCAGGTAAATGACATAATTGGTCTTGAGCTAATTAATTTTTTATTTGATATCTTTTGGTACAACTTAGCTTGAATTGTAAAAAAGTTTTTTAGTTTCATATCTTAAAAATGAAAATATATTTTTTAACACTGTTTCATATAATTTAAACAATAATATACTCAGTTTGCAGAAAGTTGAATGATTTTTTCATTTACTGCTTTGCATAAAGTCTTTACTAATTTTTTCAGGTAACACTTTGGCCACTTTTCGCTGCTCTTTGATGAATGTTTTTGAACACTGCATTTCTGTCCAACTAATGGGCACCATTGGATGACCCCGTTCAGAATGGGCTATCACTACACCCAACTCATTCTCTGCTGTTGTAAGTTGGTACACATGTGCTTCTGTAATTGGTAGCTGTAACAAAAAAGAATAAGTACATTTGTCAAGCAGTACATTGGTTAATTCTATTTAAAATGTTAATAGAGCAGAAACATACTGAATAGTTGTTAATAGAATATAATTTAGGATTCTGCAACTCTATTTAAAGTAGCCTTACATCAAAATTGTGTTGCTCAGTATTTCTTATTTATTCTTAAAAATGAAATGATATTTTCTAGCTCTTGCGTAGACAGGGTCCCTCTATAGCATAACCCTTTAAGTACCCTTATTAGAAAAAGCATAATTTGTATATCCTCATTTACAAAACATTCCAGAAAGATACCAAATAAAACTCAAATTCATATTTCTCAGTTAAGTGGAACAGTATTGATGGACTTTGCTGAGGATGAAATAAAGCTGTTTATTACTATTTTTTTACATTGCTTTATTGCAACATTTTGCTCAGGGTCAAGTGTTGGATATCACTGGACAATAAATTTTAGTTTTTTAATTGTATCTAGTGGGAAAAGTGCACTTCTTTGTTAATTTTGGGGCGCTGAATCCAAAAATGACAATGAAATAAAAAATTAGTTGCGGTTTAGAAAAAAAACTTTTTATTTTTAAGGATATATTAAAAAAAGTAACAAGATTCATATACTTATAAGAATCACTATATGCGCTGTCTTTTTGCTGTTCTTTTATGGATCGTTTCTGGAGCTACTCTACCAAGAGTCCAACAGTAGTCTGCAAGCATGGAAGGATTCCACTTTCCCTGGTACCTTTTTTCCATTGTTGAAATATCCTGATGAAAACGTTCGCCGTGCTCATCACTTACGGCTCCGCAATTGTCAGGAAAAAAGTCCAGGTGTAAGTGTAGGAAATGTATCTTAAGAGACATATTACAGCTCATCTTTTGATACGATGACAGCATATTTTTGACAAGGGTTTTATAGTTGTCAGCTTTTCTACTTCCCAAGAAATTAGTGACCACCAGACGGAAATCATTCCAAGCAGTTTTTTCAATACCTGTTAAAATGTTGTCAAACTGTGTATCTTTCAAAATATTTCGAATCTGTGGCCCAACAAAAATACCTTCTTTAACCTTTGCCTCACTTAGTCTTGGAAATTTCTGATGCAGGTATTGAAAAGCTGACCCATCTCTATCTAATGCCTTGACAAAGTTTTTCATTAGGCCCAACTTGATATGCAGTGGTGGTAATAAATTTTTTTCGAATCTACTAATGGCATATGCTGTACATTTTTTTGACCTGGCTCTAGGAATTGACGAACAGGCCAGTTTTGTCTGGTGTAATGAAGTGCCTTTGCCCGACTGTCCCATTCACACAAAAAACAGCAAAACTTTGTGTCTGCAGCTAGCTAGCTGCAGCCCAAGTAAAAGTGCAACAACTTTCAAATCGTCACAAATATGTCATTGTGCTCATCGTATTTTATGCATGTCAATAGGTACTTCATATTGTCATATGATTCTTTCATGTGAACTGCATACCCTACAGGAAGAGATGGTAAAATATTTCCAATATGCAATAACACTGCCTTTAAACTCAATGTTGAACTGTCTATAAACAATCTCCATTCTTCTGGGTTATAGTTTATATTTAAAGCCGCCAGTAAGCCGTTAATGTTACTGCAGAAAACCAAGTTATTCTACATATTGAAAAATGGTTCTAAGTCTTTGTGGCGTTTACGAAAAACACATACCGAAACATCGTCTTCTAACAAGTTCCACTGCTGCAGTCTTGATCCAAGTAACTCTGCCTTACATTTTGGAAGTTCTAAATCTCTTACAAGATCATTTAATTCTGACTGTGTTATTTTGTGCGGTTGGTGGCATGACGTGCTCGGTATAAAATCAGGATCTCTTGACGTTGATGGCATATTTTCTTCCTGACGAATCACTCGATCGCCATGATCTGATTCGTTTTCTGATTCGAAAGTGTAGGATTCTGGGGGTTTTGGAATAGGATTTTCGTCACTGTGAGGCACAGGTCTCATCGCAGATGGTATGTTTGGGTAGTTAATAACAGATTTTTTTTTCTTGGACATACCTGTGGCTTGTCCAACACAAGATACCATGCAAAAGTAACAATCATTGATATGATTTGTAGGCTCTCTCCAAACCATTGGGACAGCAAAGCGCATAGACCGTTTTTTGCCATTTAACCAGCTTCTCAGACTTGAAGCACATGTATTACAGCAGATGTGGGGTGCCCACTGTTTGTCTTGATCACCTAGTTTACAACCGAAATAAAGCTGATATGCCTTTGTTATTAGTGGAGTAATAGACCGTCTCTGAGACGCAAAAGTCACATCACCACACACGTAACAAAACTGATCTGGATTGTTTACACACTTTCGAGACATCTTGCATGAACGCTGTCAGCCAACTGAGGAAAAAATGGCTAATATAAAACAATATAATGTACACGTATGTATAACGTAACACAATCATGCCGATTACATCACCTTTCCTTGCCGAATATAAAAATGTAGCACGTACATTCTTGTGAATTACAGTATATTAACACTGTCACAGCAGGAACACATATAATTACCGTATCTCTAAAACTTGAACTAATATTGAAAAAATAAGTTTCATTCCGGTTTTAGCACATTAAAAATAGTAATATTTTGTTGATTTTATTTAGGATATTTTTTGGCTGTTGATCAGTGTATTTAGGAGGAACAAAAATAAACAAAACTTAGATTTCTTGAAACTTCTCATACATGGTTATCTTCATCAATTTCCTAATAGGTTTCACCAAAAATGTCCATACATCTTGCAAAAGAAATATTTATTTTAATGATGCATTAATTAAGGTTAACTTTCAAGTTATAGGTACCCTATTTCCTGAGTATCCATCATGCTTTGATGTCTACTGAGGTGAACAGCTGATCAGCAAGTGACATTTTTGTGTTAGTATGCAATGTTTTGGCAATATTGGATCAGGTATAAATTTAGTAAAACTTGTTTGTGGCATTTTTTGTATGAAAATCAACTTTTCTGTGTATAACAGCTGTTAGCTAGTACAAAATGTATCTGTAGCGTACAAAAAATCAAAACAAAAGTCTTACAAAAAATCAAAACAAAAGTCGGCTCAGTCTACCTGGCATTGATGGATCCATCAGAATTGTGTCCTGGGCCAATATGGGGAATTTTGAGATTTCACTAGATAACCAGTTGTCATTCTACCGTGATGGATTCTGGTGAAATAGCATATAGGTACCTATGATTTGGAAGCTAACTACAGTTGCCTGTAAATTCGTTTTTTAAGTTCTGGTTAACTGACAAATAATTGTTGATGCAGCAATGCTGAATTTTCATGTTCCATGTTTGTGTCTCATGTCACTATTAAGCAAATTAGATTAGACATTGAGGTGTTATTACATTTTTCTAATTATCCCTCTGGTTACAGTTAACTACTGCAAACCTGGCATTGAAAAATGGGTTTTGAAAGCGAGCTCCATCATGCTGGGACCCTGGGCCTGAGCACCATGAGCCATGTTAAGATGGAATAGTTTGGTTCCTTGCTTGTTTTATTGTTGGCGAGTGTTTGGATATTTGGTGAATATAATCTGAGAATACTGATTAGAGAGCACTCTACATACCAACTCTGGTGTACTACATCACCTTAGCTATAGTGCTTTTGTTAGAAATTAGATAATATTCATGCATTAGAAAAAGATAACCACAACTGTTCAAGGTATTTGTGGACTTACCACTCTACCCAGCACAATATCGCCTGGCCTAAAAGACTTGTAAATCTCTACCCGATCCTTCTCGGTAGCTCTGACATCTTCCTTTCTTATTATGGCCCTGAATGGTCTCCGTAACACTGTGTCGCCCACACATTTTATAAAACATTTTGCATAAGCCTGTGTGATAATACTTATCTGAGCTGTGACAATGTCTCCCTGGGCAGGGACCACTGTTTGTTCGCCAGAAGAATGGACTTCTACTATCTTAACTCCGTCTTTTTCGACTATATCCACATATCCAGCTAGTTGTGAGTAGATATATCCCTGTCTTTCGTAAGTTCCTTGGCCGGAGGTGTATGTCTTATCACAGAGGCAAAGTCGCTGGCCGGGCAGGCATATCAAAGGTTCGTCATCCATTTCGATATTTTAAAGACTGGAAAATTTTAAAGCTCCAAAGTTTGTTTTGGTCTGATTATTTCACGCTTTATACGTTTTTCAAGGTTTCATAAAAATGAGGTTAAGAGTTAAGATCAAATGTCACCAAGTGACAGTTCGCCATGCCATAATTAAAAATAAGATTCGCCTCTGCAATGAACTGGATATGCAACCAGAAATACATATAACTGTTTTTCATTTAAGCCTGTCATACACTTGCATTTTTAGGGTCTTTGCAGTCTGCGCAGTATGTATGTTTTGTGGACGCCTTGATGTTGATGATCATATGTTTATTTCCAAATTCAGTGCTTTTACCGTAATATTTGCTGGTAAGGCTTAATTAAAATAATTTCAAGTCATACAAACATATTGGTTGAAATATGAGTTTTAGATCTCAGATAAAAAGAAATGCAAGAAATAGGCAGCGTCCTAAATAAATTGAGATGAATTGTCATAATATTTATTTTATTTAACGATTTAACCCTTTCGCGACGGAGGATCTTGTTACGAAATCTGTCTGTGCTTACGGGGAAAACGCCGCTTGCTGATTTATCCGCTTCCCGTTCCAAATCGACATTTTATGACGCGCTGATCTATCCGCTTCCCGTATGGAATGACTATAGGTTTTTGTATTTTTTTCTTTTATTCATTAGTGAAATAGCGATAATTTAAAAAAACTTTTTATTTCTTACAAAGTAATTTTCATACAAAAGTGTTATCGAAAAATATAAATACATACGAGCATAATGTAAATAATAAAAACATAACGTAAGTAACAGTAGTGTGTCTATGGGGATTGAATCTCACTGTTTCTAAAATCCGCTTGAGGCGCTGGCGTCGTGCGCCATTGTTGAGTTGGACGGAATCTATGTGAAATTGATGAGTTGGGGATTCCGCCGCTAGATGGCGGTGTACAAACCAAACGGAATCTATGTGTCATTGGACACATGTCATGGGTCATTGAGCATCTCGCGCATAGATGGCGCTACACACGTCATCTGTCATACGTCATTGGACACCTGTCATTGATGGGTTGGGCATCTCGCGCATAGATGGCGCCGATTTGTTGTCTGGCGCTGTACAAACCAAACGGAATCTGTATGTGTCATTGGACACCTGTCATTGATGGGTTGGGCATCTCGCGCATAGATGGCGCCGATGTCGCACCTCGATGGTGTTGGCGTGGATATACGGGGGGCAGAAATTTAGAACCTGTATACAGGGGTGCATCGAAAAAAAGCGGATCGATGGACCGACGGTATATCGTTAAATCGTATATAGCAAGGCGTGACCTAAATAGCGTGGTGGGCTCCTCTGGTCGGTCGGTCAGAATGTCTTATAACCTGTATACGATGTACTGTTATTATACAGGATGATACCGTTCAAAATGAAAATAGTACATGTATAATGGATTTTTTTATTGAAACATATACAGGGTGGCCCATAAGTCCTTTGAGCTGGAAAAAAAGGAATAAAACCAAACTAGTTACATTATGAAGAATTATTATATTTTGTTATCATCTTTATAGAATGGGAATTATGTTTTAAAAATCACATCGTCTAAATGCAATCCATTACGATCACGGCACTCATATAAACGACGTCTAAAATTGTCGATGACTGCGCGGCAAGTCAACACTGTAATGCTTGCTTCTCTTCGGATATTTTCTTTCAGGACATCAACTGATCGCGGAGTGGTGTCGTACACTTTACTCTTGAGGTAGCCCCATAAAAAGAAGTCCATTGGGGTCAAATCTGGACTACGTGGTGGCCAGGAAATGTCTCCTCTTCGAGAAATTACTTTGCTGGGAAAAAGTTGACAGACGACGGGCATAGAAGTGTTGGAGGTGTGGGCAGTTGCTCCGTCCTGTTGAAACCAGGTCTGCGTATTATAGCCTGGAAAATTCTGCAACGCTGGTGTCAAAAACTCTTCTATCATTGATACATATCGCTCCGAAGTAACAGTTAATGCGCGACCTCTGTCGTCCTCAAAAAAATAAGGGCCTACGATGCCATGCGCTGACATAGCAGCACAAACTGTAACTTTAGGGCTGTGTAAGGGCTTCTGATGCTTACGCCTTGGATTTTCGGGGCTCCAATAACGGCAATTTTGTTTATTTACATGCCCGTTTAAATGGAAGTGAGTCTCGTCCGAGAACAACACATTATTGAGCGAAGAAAATCGATTCAACATTTCATTCGCAAAGTTTAGTCTCTGAATAGCGTCATTATCTTTTAATTCCTGCACTAACTGAATTTTGTAAGCGTGCAGACGTAAATCTTTCCTTAAAATCCGCTGTAAAGATGTTCTGGGTACGTTTAGTGCACTGGAACGCTTACGAGTAGACTGGGTAGGATTTTGACGATCAGACTGTGCCACAATGTTGATGTTTTCTTCAATACGAGTTGTCCTTGGTCGACCCCACCGCTGTTTATCTAACGTCGAACCAGTCTTTTCGAACTTAGCAACCCAGTTCTTAATCGTTTGAGCTGTTGGACACTTTGTAAAATTGTGTAAATTATGGTATTCTCGATATTTACGCCGCGCAATGGTTGCCGAATCATTATTTTGATAAAACGCGCGCACACAAAAAGCACGATCCGCTCCAGTGAAACACTCCATGGCGACTGAATTCCCAGACACTGAAGATACTGCCCCCACCTCGCCCGCGCCGCTCACGCTCACCCGTTAAATTTTATTCAAATTTGAAATTTCAAAGGACTTATGGACCACCCTGTAGTATATATAACAATAAGGTTGATTGGTGTGTGTGTGTGCCATGTTTTGAATACCCGCTTGAACAACACGAAACAATAAATTCCGACAATTATTTCGCAAACCAGAGGTATTTTCAATAAAACTACAATAATACGTTTAATATTTTATTGAAAATAGAAAAAAACTACATAGGTAATATGATATTTGAAAACCAGTGGCGTAGACGTTCAACATTTCTCTGGGTACAGGAAAATTGTCCGTTGGTGTGACATGGATTGGAATCAGCAACAAAGTTTCCAGTAGCACACGGTGTACCATCATACTCGTACTTGCAAACATCAATAATGATGGGAAAAACACCAAAAATGTGACATTTCTTGAGTAAAAAGTTTGCTTTCTGTTCTCCACGAGCGTAGACATAGTCAGCCGCATATATCACCTTATTTTTAATTATTTCATTTAACTTGGAATATTCAACGTCGCCGGAAGAATATTTAAGCCCATGGAAATTCTTCTCCAAGTAAGCGACAGTTTTCTTGTCTTTAGTATTTAATGTAGAAAAAGGTTGCGGAGGTGTAATATGTAATGACTTTTCTTGAAACCAATTTCGATACATAGTTCTTTAGGTACGAATAATCCGTCAACTGTAAACCCTTGAATGTCAACAAACGCGATCCTCATGATGTCTGATGCGGAACTGAGAGTCCTTCGTTGCTTACGAGATGGTTTTAATAACTTCGGTGAGGGGGAAGTACTCGATTAAGCAGTCATGTATAATGATGCAGTAGGCCTTGGTGTTGGTTGGAAAGCCAGCATCGGCTTCGATATCCAATCTAACATCAACAGTTGATGATTTCATGGTTTCCTCTTGTTTGGAAATAACAATAACAAAGCGCGATTTTTAAAAGCGGTATAATCTAAAAGACATCTCTTCAGAGAAGAAGAAGTTGTATAGCTGGTTTGAAAGTCGCTATAGTTGAAATGAGCTTCAGTAAAGTGATTGTTTGCAAAGTCCAATTGCATACGTTCGTTGGGATAGTATTCACCATTCAAAGATACTCGAATACTAGCATTCACGTGATCAAACAGGGTCGGGTCTGAGGTTGCGACGTCACGTTTACCGGTTTGGAAACATACTATAATGAAACGTGGTCTTTCGATTGCGGTGCTAGTTTTAACTGACCATATTTCTCTTCTCGCATCTGCGGTAATTGCAGGCAGTTCGTTCAGATCCCATTTTCTAAATGGTATAAGTATCGGCTTATCAGTTTGAATAGCTTTCAAAAGTTGTTCTTTCACATCATCACTCGGGTAAATATGTTTGATTTTCAGTTCCATGCTTTCAATAGTTATTTTCGCTGTCGTCGTCGTCGTCGTTCTAGTTTTTCCCTTGATAATGATACAATCGTTATCGTTTCTAGCTCTCACAAATCTGAGAGTTTGTCTGCCACACGTAATCATAGGATAATCATTGAAAATGTTGAAAATATGTTTAAGCGGCATTAGCAAGCTAAAAGACTTGTTATGTGTTGACGCCATTATAGGTGTTGAAGGATAGTTCCATCCAGCTATAGCCATATGATTTGAGTCTTCCTCATTGTAACATACGTAAGCTCGGACAGTACTTACAATACCAGGATCACGTACTGTTTCAACTTCTCTAGCGGATTCACTGTAAGTGCAAGAGTCAAATAGGAAGGAACCAAAGTTTGGAGCTAAAGATACATCTCCTGCTGCTCCAGTTATTTCAACTTTCCCTTTGATAGACAGAAGGGAAGCGTTCATTGCAAAGAACGAATCTACTTGATTGATGCTAAATTCCACAACATCATTACAATTAAATGACTTGATGAACGCGTATAAGATCTATACTCAGCCTTGCGAATAGATTCATCGAATGCTGGAGATCGATATAGATCAAACATCGGAGAAGTATGTGATTCTGCCTCCTCAGTTTTTCTCTTTTTGTACATGATTCTTGTTGTTGTTGACATGATATCCAAGTGAGCGGAGAAACAGGATATTTGATGTAGTTAGTAGTAGATGTCGTCGCTTAGGTGCTTGGGGTAATACTGAAGTTGCCTTGGAAGCACCACTATGTCTTATAATCACTAATCCCATCTGCTCTTCGCTCTCAACTCCAACACAAGAGTACTAGTTTCACCTTGAAAGTTTACAGGACGACCGTCCTTGATCTAAAGCCAACACTGTGATGTTGGTTATTTCTTGTTTCGGTATAACAGGTAGATATAGTAAATTTACAGGTGTTTCGACTATAGCGTATCCAGGATCGGCTGTCACAGCAAATTCGTAGATCGTGTGTGCAGGCGTGTCTCCGTCAAAGGCTCCCGACGTAATGTTAGCATCAAAGTGTATGGTTGATACTTTTATTATGTTTACAGGTAAATCAGAAGAATG